GCGAAAAAAAGCACAGGACTACATGCATGCATGACGCAAGCGTGACTTTTCACGCATCAGTAATGTTTGAAGACTTAATGCAAATTCAAGGCGTCACAACAACATGATTGTTATCAGTGCATGCTGTCTTAAAAGATTTCGTTTAATGGTATTCTCTTCGAAATAAGAGGAATGCATAAGGCAAACTCATGAGATTTCGCTGTTCAGAAGATCATTTATGTACTTATCACAACCATAGTTATACCGGTAATGTGTTTTACTACATTGCAAACAGGGTAGAATTTACCAAGTTCGCTTCCATAGGCGACTTTCAAGTTTCCTTGATTACCGTTTGCTCAGAAACACAAAATATATTTTCTGCAAGAGCTTTTCGCCTGTAATACTAACTCTGCGAAAAGTTCTTAAAGAAATTTTCAACATTGTAGTGCACACGCAGTCTTTGCGGTTCAGTGTGCAATTTAAACGAAAGTTGTCTTCGCTCACATATCCGCAAGAAGGAGACAACAACTCTTCTGAATGATAATGAATTTTGCATTCAGAAGCAAAAAGCGTTGGAACCCAGACTAACTACACCGTAGTTCGATTTTTCTACATGGACTGTTTCTTCATGGGCTTTTTTATTTGGAGACGTTTTGTGATTGTCGCATAATGTGCCAGCAGAATGTTCAAGTGATTGTAGGGCTTTTTTTCCATAGGTGTCATGAACACGCGAGTACATAATAAGCGAGTGCGTTCGATATTATTTTCACGTTATAAGCAAACATAACTCCAGATCTGGTCTCAGGTGTTGGAAATATATCCCTTCCCACTGCGGTGACTTATCTTATGGATAACATTGTGAGCAAACGCTGAGCATTTAGACAACCAACATGGCACTTATAAATGAACAGACTGTTTGATCTGCAACAAATTCTTGTGCCTTCTTGAGGTTTGCAGTAAGATTCATAAGTTCTTGCGGCTTCTTGTGGTTAGATTTTCAACTTCTTGCGGCTTCTTGTGGTTAGACTTTCAACTTCTTGCGTTTTGAATGTTCTTGCGGGTAAACTGCAAAAACACGACATTTTTACTTCTTGCGACGGTTTGCGTGTTCTTGCGGTGCAAGAAGTTCGTGCGCCACTTCTTGCACATGTATTATTTTGGGCTGTACTGTATATCCCTTAAAAATGCGTTGCTGTCCCCCCTCCCCACCCAACACAATGTTGAAAATCAGGTGAAATTGCAGGCACTAGTTTTCAACATTGTATGAGGGGGTGGGGGCGAGGTTAGGCAGGTGAAGTTGTATTTGCATCTGGCATGTGCGAAAAAGCGCCTAAAGTGCAAATTTGTCCCAAGACTTTTGTCCATGATTGTAGCTTGTACTGACAAGAATCTGAATTAACTAAAGAAGGTGGAATAAGTCAGGAGAACCTTAATTCTGTAGAGCTCTCTTGATTAAATACCGTAACATTGAGAATTGAAGTTGCAATGAATGGCAGAGAATAAAAACGCTGTTCCCAAAAGTCTTTCATCAATTGACGAGTGCTTTTAACACGGTCAAGTTGGTAAAATGGCCAATGGAAATTTGCTGCGATGCCCTTTGTTGTGGAGAAGAAACTTGGTCATTCATCAAATCGACTAAAAGTGCAACGATTACACATTCCCCCTGTCAAACTGTTAAAATGGCTCTGTTCTTCCTCGAAAGGTCCAAACTTAATTCTCTCAAACAATCCGGATCACGCAAGAACTCAGATCTCGCCCGTATTAATAAGCTTAAGTAAACAAACACATATTGGTCGGTTAAATAGCATTCCACTGCTTTTCCCTGTCCTTCTTTCAAAGACTTGAATTTAAGTTTGATAGACCATATTCAATTGCTTTCATAAAATTCATATCCTTAAGTATGTCTAAGAACAAAAGCTAAAAGAAACAGATTTTTCAACTCAGCAGACATTTGCTCTGCCAGTTGTGTCATTGATCGCGCGCAATGTCATGATGTATAGTCAGTACTTGTTTGTTCATTGGTTAGTGTGTATTTATGTTGCTGGTGGAAAAATCTACCGGTAAAATTTGGGGTGCTACAAGTGGGAAAGTCCTTCGGTGAAACCAACAGGCCAGGGAAGAATTATTGGAAAGGACTTTTAGAAAGTCTAAAGACAGTATTGAAAACGTTAATTTATATTACAAGTTTTTAGAGTTACAGTACTGCTTAGAAACAAACAATCACTCAAACATTTTTTAAACCTGTTGACAAAGAACACTAATTAACAAGGATAGTTTACCAAAATTTCTTAGGAGTATTTCTTAGTGCATAGTGTTTAGTAGCCTTGTATAAGGGTGTAACCTTCGCCACCTTCTGGCTTTGATCTGAAACAAAATACCAATAATGTATGTACTGTTAATCATTTGATTGTGTTGTTCTTTAAGCAAGTAAACAAGGTCTTGATAAGAGATTGCTAAGGTTTTAAACTTTGTTTGTTAAAAAGTAATTGTTGCTATGAATACAGGATATTGAGATGTTGGATTGAAGCTGACAATTACAGTGTATGTTTGTATTGTTGTTTTAATTTTGTTGTTTTGAAGCAAGAACGTCTGTTCCTTAGAAAGTCAGACTGTGGTAGGCATTGATTTCGTATACTGAACGTTTTTGGTATTCTTGAATGAGAATAGATTTGTGTTTGCATGAGTGAATAGTCCTATGCATTACTGTTTGTAACAGTTGTATTGAGAACTCTGGTGTATGTTCAGCTGTCAGATTGAAGCTGTTTCTTGAAGCAAGTACACTTAGGGAGAAAACAAAAGCCCTCTAAGAGGACATGTGGTTACTGGATAGTAAATAACCACAATGGCGCAAAAAAGAGTTGCAGAGGTTTAGTCTTACTGCTTTTGAGTATTTTAAAATTTGAGTGCTTGACGTTATTGTCCTTTACATCATTGCGAGCTACATTAGGGACCTTTAAACGATACAAGGCCGGGCAGGAAGGCCAAGATGGGAACGGCAGTGGATGTGTGTCCTGTCATGTCGCCAAAGACAAAATCCTTAAAGTAGTGTTATTTTCGTATAGGACGTCAACATCAATAGCTCTAGCTTTATAAATGCTCTTCATAGAATCAATAACATCCTTTAGAGACAGTATAGAAAATAATATTATCCTGTTAAGCTTAAATAATGGTGAACAGATGACATGGAACTTACTCTTCTTTTCTTATGTGAAGCAAACATTCTTGATCTGTCGATATTAAATACTGAAAGAATCCAGAATTTCTGTATGAACTTGCCAGCAGAGTGTTTTAGAGTGGATGTTGTCTGTAACTGAAACAAGCATTTATAATAAAACAAACGTTACATTAAGTTTTGGGTAGTGTGAAAACATGAAACAAAGTGAATTTTCATAAGAACTCGTTGAGTGACAGAAATCGAGATGTTACTGTCATTGAGGAGACTGGATAGTTTACAGATACCGGCTTGATGCCAGCTTTCAAAATATGTTGAAGCTTTGTTAATTTTTATGAATCGATTATTGCAAACAATTTGGTTGAGTACGTCTTTTTTTGTCATAGGGACAACAACAAGTCATATTTCATTCCTGTCAGTGCGAAATCATGTCCTTCTAGAAAATGGGTAGCTTTGCACTTAAGTTCAAATATTTCACATCATAATTGCAAATTTATGAAAAAGAAGTGTTCTGCTGACACCTGATAGAAGGTGCAGTGGGATTAATTTCCATGCTTGATCATCTTCAGAGCAAAGATGCTTCACCCAGCATATTTTTTATGTTTTATCAAAATTAATAATGTGAAATCAGTCATGTTTAGCCCTCCTTATTTTTACTTTTAATCAGGGTAGATTTTTTAACCTTTGGATGTTTGTGCTTCCATACATGATCAAAGATCAGCTTATTAACTTCAGTAGCGAACTTGTCTTTTGTGTTCAGCACACTACAAATGAAAGTTAGTTTTGAAATTGCAATTGTCTTTACTATATCGATTCTGCCGTATATAGATGTACATGTATCTGTTGACGACCAAATGCTTAGTATTCTTCTTAGGGGGTCTAGTCAATCAAAACAGTTCTTTTTGGCTGCAAGTTGTTCGTCATACAAAAAATGAACTCCCAGGGCGTAGATGGGTTCTTCACTTAATCTTAGATTTAAAAGTGTATCTTTTTGATATCGCAATGATCCTAACCACAACAACTTTGATTTAGATCGATTTATTCATAATCCAGAACATTTTTTGAACTGAGCAAGTAAATTAGAAACTAAGGTTTTGTACTGACTGATTGTCTCTAAGAAAAACAGTGTTATCATCAGCATACTGCATAACTTTTATTGTGTTTCTGTCATCTATTTCGATGCCTTTTATTTCATTTGTGCTCCTAATGGCTTTACCCAGGATTTCTATTCCAATAGTAAACAGGATACCAGACAGAGGACAGCCTTGCCCGACTCCCCTTCCCAAAATAAACTGCTTAGTGGCAAAGCCATTGTTCAGAATGCAACTTGAAATGTCGCTATAATTATGTTAATCCACTGCCGCAGTTGAGGACCAAAGTTGAAAATTTCCAGGCATTTCTGAAGATAATTCCATTTAATGGAATCAAAAGCTTTTTCGAAATTGAGAAAAATGGCTTATCTGGGGATGTTTTACATCTTGGTGAAAGACATGACATCTGTGATATTTCTGATACTTTTGCCGATATATCTTTCTTTAATGTAGGCTGTTTGTCGTGAATCAATAATTTTAGGTAGACTCTTTCCATTCTGACTGCAATGGCTTTTGTGGCAATTTTTTAATCATTTTTTAAAAGGGAAATCAGCCTCCAGTTTTTTCAATATTTTAAATCTTTGTTCCTTTTTGGGATCAAGGAAATAATTCGGAGCTATTGGGAGATGGATAAATGACCATGCTCATATGCGTAGTTATAGCTATCAGCCATAAAATGTCCAATCACCACCCAGATGAATCTATAAAATTCTGTGGTAAGTCTCTGATTAATAGGTTTGTGTGACTTTACATTAAAGGTTGTGAGTATGGTGACTGCTGGATATAGACACAGTGCTGCAATTACAGATGATGGATATCTTTACACCTGGGGAGAAGGAGACTATGGAAGACTAGGTACTTTTATAATACATATAACATTATGTATAATTCAATATTTTTGTTTCTATATTTCTGTTAAACTAGAAGGAGTCTGTTAGTACAATCTAGAGAAGTGACCCAATACTGACCATTCAGAACTTGGAAAATGGTAACATTGCACTTAAATGGTTTGAACCCAGGAGTATTAGTATATATATACAGGTAGTTCAATTTGTATGAATGTCTGGGTGAGGGTAGTTCTGAAAAGAACTGAACATTGTTAATGACTTTAGAGTTAAGTGGAAATAATAATTATTCAGTTGCTGGTGTACCAGATTTCCAGAGTCAGCGATTGAAACTTACCGACAAACTGCACCGCTGTGGTTAGGTTATAATGATGCCTGGGGGGAGGGGTAGTCCCTTATATGGGCTATATAGGTATGTGTGGCTCCAAAGGGTAGGGGTTTTCAGTCGTTTTGGTCATAAATAGGGTATCGATTTTGGCCATTTTGGTCTTAAATAGGGTGTGGTTTTAGCACTCTACTCTTGAATTGGGTATGGTTCTTAGAAGAAGCCACTTTTTCATCATTATCAATAAGAACGTCAACAAAAGCCCTTCATAACTTAAGTTTAGGGCAACTGCGCCAGCCACAACTGTCATAAATAGGGTATCGAATTTTTGGCCAGGTCATAAATAGGGTAGGGAAAATCGCAGATTTTGGTCATAAATAGGGTAAGGGTTTTGGGAAGTGAGCCGCACACCCCCACCCAACTTATCTGGGAGTACCCCCCTCCCCCAGTATCGATGACACATTTTACTGTTAACGATGTATGCAAAGACAAGGTTGATGCTTTTCACAGGCACCCTAACAAACAGAATGCTGAAATCCAGTTCACTAAATTATAGATCTTGAAGAAGATGGAAAACTTCCTACCCTTACCCAGACATTTTTGCCAGATGAAAGTTCTCTGCAAATGCTGTTCACTATTTCTGAAAGAGGCAGCATGGCCGAGTGGTCAGGGTGCCGGACTTGAAATCTGGAGGTCGCAGGTTCAAGTCCGGCTCTGACCACTAAGCTGGAGTTGTTTCTCGATAAACCCTGGTTCAAACCCTCGGCCATGCTTGTAAATAGCCAACTGGTCTGTCTCCTGCCAGTTAGGATTTTTAACCATGTTATGTTCATTTGCATTATTTGTTTCATCATTTGGTTTCATTGGCCCTGAAAAGCCCCAGTGGGGGTGTGGTGAATTAAGATATTTATTTTATTTAGTTTTTAAGTTGTAGGTACAAATGTATGAGGGCTGATTTTACCCTTTCACTTCCTGTTAGATGCAAATAAGTAACTGTATATTTTCAGAATTGTTTCTTCCCAGGCCACATTTGTGCTATTAGTAATATTATGTAATATTTATTGTATAAAGGCACAAGTGTTTTACTGGAAAATACGCCACTCATTAAACTCATATGAAACTTCATATCTGGGACCCGGGTAGCATATTTTCACTATCCTTAGTGGTGAAGATCCTACTAGTGAGGATCCTTACTAGCAGGTTCACTTTTTCACAGTTGATTGTGCAAGCAGTCAGTTTGCCTATAATAATTAAAAGAAAATTACATGGTGGCTTGAAGATATGAATTTTTTATTCTCATGTTAAAAACAATATTTTACTGTACTCCCCTGGCTGCATAGCCCTATTCCCTCAGAAGAGAGCTAGGGCTGATGATTTTGATGACTCCCAGGCTGCACTCGTTTGTAAAGTATTGTGCATATCTTTGTACCACTGTGTTATATCCTCTAAAATTATGATAATGGTGTTTTACTCTGACACCTTAACAGAGGTTGTTTTTTTTAAAGGTTGTGGAGACAACAATAGTAGGAATGTGCCTACTTTGGTCAAAGATGTCAGCAATGTTGGTCAAGTTGCATGTGGCAGTGCTCATACAATATGTATTTCTAAAGATGGATGCACAGTGTGGTCTTTCGGAAGTGGCGACAATGGTGAATTATTCTCAGTTCTCTTTTGTTCAGCTTTCCTTTTGCTTATAAATTTAGTGGCAAAAGGCCATTAAATTGGTTTTAGCCACTAAGTTTTATATTCATTAATACATATCATGTACATTTTCGTCATAAACTTGCACAAGTAAAGAATTGGTTCATGCTTAGTGTGCTTATATCAAGTTATGGTCCGTGCATGCAGGAAGTTTGGAGAGCACAAGAGAAGTGTAAGAGTTGCTCTAGGCACAGCCGACAGCAACTCTAGCTTCTTGAGTGCTCTTCAAACTTCCCAAGTGAATCCATAACTTGATATATGCACCTAGCTAAAAGCAGGAACCAATTCTTTTATAACTTAGTGACAACAACTTGGGTGCTAAAATGTTTTATTTGTGATTGACTACAAATTTCTCACAATGCACAGCAAAGGATCCTACTGGCTGGTTAAAAACATTCCACAATCACTTGAGCAACAGTTGAATGAAAATGCTTCATCTGATTTCTAAAATTGTCAATGAAAAATTTGCGTCTTCAAATTAATAAAAATGTGGGCAAACAAAGACAAAAATACTCAGTTAAAATGTAGACAAACAAAGCCAAAATACTTAAGTTTTAGTAAACATCTTAGCTTGGTGAAAGTCAAAGTCTCAGAGTAGCCAAGGCTTGGACTGTTCAGAATGAAGTTTACATTGCCAAAACTTTAACAAAAGGAACTTGCCGCTAAACTCAATGGAAAATTTGCAGCTAAAATGAAACTGCACATGTCTTGTTATTTATGTTTAGCAGTGTGTAAATAGAGATTTTTGCCATGATGGTTTGATAGGAATTACATGTAGGTAAGACCAGCGTGCGTGCTATGTTATAATAGCGGCGCTCCAGTGGCCCAAAGGGCAGCCAAGCGGGAGCCCCATACTCATATAGGAAAGAAAGGGAAACCCATGAGTTGATTTTCTCATGGTTATCATGGTTAGCAGTATTGCTAGTGGGCGCGCATGGACGACGGCAATGACGATGATGATGATGAAGTTGCGCAACATGGCGACCATACTCCAAATAATAGGTTGACAGAGACATGCAGCCTTGGTTTACCATGTACTTCTTTGATATTGGACATCCATGTTATGATCAATTGACACCTGTCAAAACAAGGTATTCGCTGACCAGTATCACGTGACCATATCGTAGGCTCAAGTTTACAGCTCATCGAGGTCGCGTGTTTTTTTGAAGTTGACCGCTGCCCAAGTGCTGGTTTTTTGATTGGATTGCAGGCTCATCTCAGGTTAACTTGTTGAAATCAGGGCAGGATTGTTCGGAAGCCGGTTTAATGCTAACCCAGGATTAAAAGTTAACTGAATTATAACTTGTTCTTCTATACAAATGTTTTTTGCTGCTTTGTTTTGTGTATTTAGTGATTATTAAAACTCAAAACAGAAGGCCAAACAATATACAGAAAACCTTGCCGCAAAGTTACAAAACTCAAATCAAAATTCTACCTTTTCCTGGGTTATTTGGCTCTGAAAAACCCGGCCCAGGAGCTACGCTTTTAGGCTGGCCTAAATCTATATATTATAATTTAGACTCTATAACCTCATCAATGCATAGCTGGCTGTAGTGTTCCATCTTTGTTGATAATTAAAGTAATATTGCAAGTCCAGTTACAAGTTTGACCATTACTTTTCAATTAGATGTAGCACACCCTTTAATACAGCTCTGTATTGCTAATATAATAAATTGCTTCAGGGGTGCTTTTCTAGTCATAAGCAAGCACTTCTGTTCCTTATCACTGGTAACAGGCACCTCTGCAATTGACCTTGCTGAGATCTTTTTTTTGGCTCTACAAATGTTGCACGTGCAGTCAGAGGCAAATGGCCCTCTGGCCTTGTTTAGTTTGTGTCAGTGTAACTTATTGCACAGCTGTAACACTTACTGGTGAGACTCCCTCAAAACAGATTTTGTGGGTTCAATTTATGACCCTGTGCTAAAAGCAGTTAAATCTCCGTCATCATTTTGAAAACTACCCTGACTCCCCAGACAATCGTAAAAAACACAGATTTATGTATTGTGTCATTTCCCACACTGTTGTCAATAAACTGTATTAAGTTTTCCACTCTGCCTTGTGACTCAGGAAATATCTAAAGGTACATTTTGTAAGGTGAGTGTCAGCTAAGTAGTCCATACAGCTGGAGTTTATCCTGGTTTCTGTTGCTACTAAATACAAAGGTATTTTTACTTGAATTTGGACTATGTGCACAAAGAAGATCTCGGCAAAGGCTATTGAATACAAAAAAAAAACAACTGGGGCAGTGACTCGTTTTTCAGAGATAATTACCATGGGGCACAAAATTGTTGCCGTTTTTTTTCAATAAGTTCCTGCAAAAGAAGGTCCCTCAAACATTTTACCCACAAAAATGTACTCCACTGGTGAAATTACACATACAAAGATCACATGCAGAATCTTGGTGCCATTTATTTAAAATGTCTCCTGAGTTCATAATTAAAACTTGAGGGATACACATATGGATCAACTGGTACTGAAGTGTTTGCTGAGCCATTGCTGGAGCAATATCTTCTTGTTGTTTCTCTTGTAATTCCAATTAAACACAACTTCTTGATACATATATGCATCAAGTGGTGCCGTTTTTTTTTCCCTGAGCCATTGCCGGAGCAATCCGCCAACTGTGGTGTTCCTGGTTTTAGTACAGGCTCATTAAACATGATTTAGTCATAGTAGGAGAATGTTGCTTTCATTTAAGTGGCTCACTTGGTAGTTTAGTTGATTACATCAGTTTTAACCCTAGTGCACACACTAACACTCACCAAAGTTTCAGCCTCTAAAGTGCAGGTTTTCCTTATGAAATTCATCTCCCAGGGTTTTCTCTACAATTTTTCCTTTGGGAGTCCCTTGGACTCCTTCAACCTAAGGTTGAGGGTCCAGAAGAAAAAAGTAGGGGTCCCACGGTTAGAGTTTTAGATTCCAGGGGAACAATCTAATCTTTCGCCCTTCCCCTTTTAGTGAAGTTTCTTCCTGAGGCAATAACAGACTGGTACATGGATGTAGTGGTTTGGGAAATACAGTACTGTACTGTATTCCCTAATTTCTTTTCAATGGAGATGTCACATGTTTCATCAAGCATCAGTCCAATAAAAGGCACGCAAGAATCATGTAGTTTTTTTTAATCAAGTTATCTTCAACACAATTGGCCAAAACAGATTCCATCTCTGAAACAATTTCGGGTTTCTTGTAAAAACAGAAGCATCACTACATCCATTAGCAGCCTGAAGTTCCACTATTGGAATAAAGTTAGCAGCAATGTTGTTCTTCATCATAACATATACTGTTCTAAGCTGGACAACGTGTCTTCTCGTGATTTCCTGTGTTTCATACTCAGTGTTCTTCCTTGCATTTGCAACTGTCACTTGAAAGCTTTTTCTGAGCTTGAGGTCACTGATACTCGTAAGGTGATCTTTCGAATTTTGGTGCCTTTTCCAGGGCCGACTTCTGATAATTGTTACAGCCAGTTGTTGTGAAAGGGTTTTTCTTACCTGTCATCTTACAGATATCACAATACATTTTTTCGTTTTCTTCTTTCAACCATGTGAATTCTTCCATCCAAGCTGGAAAGAAACACCTCTTTTTTTCGCGGGTTGTAATTCTGAATCCGCTATCTTGCAGTGTGTGCCACAATGCCTCACAATCGCACATTAGTTCTCAAGCCTCTGCGAGGAGTTCACAGCAAGAGCAAGCTTGAGAATGAGAAAAACAAAAGGTGGCGCTGCAGTAGTTGATTCAAAGGAGTGAATGTGCCAGATTTGGGAGTTGAAAGATGGACTAAGAAAACAGAACAAAGATTCCAAATTCTAATTTTATTCTCAAAAGCAGATCTATTCAGGTTTAAATTAAGTCAGTAGTAAACTACCATCCTAAACCATGTGCGTCCGAGAGGACCTGTTCTTGTTGCCGTTTTTGCGTCCCTTTTCCATTTTTCAGCCAAACAGTGCGTCTCGGACGCACATTTGCGAGTAAGGGAAAACCCTGGTCTCCAAAGAAGCCCAAAATTTGAACATCTTGCCGCCATTTTGAACAGTACTCAGCAGCCAGGCAGCGTTCTCGTGATGTTTAATGTTTTTAATGTTTTAAATTTTTTTTTAAAATTTAATTTTAGACAAAATAATGCCATTCACCATTATGACACCTGCCAGTGCAAGAATCTGCACCTTTCTGCTCCTAAAACAAACTGGGCAAAGCAAAAAATCACATACCAAGCAGCTCTTGGTTTTAACCTTTTAAGTCTTGAAATGCAGGAAATGGAATCTATTTTACTTATTAAAAATGAACTTGAACACATGCCTTAATTTTATCATATTTTCTTTATATCATATTTTTTTACGTTTGAGTAGCATTGTTTTGTATAGCTTTTATGTTTTTATAATATTTTCCACAGGGCCATTCTGAACACCACTTTATGTGAGATCGCCTCCTGTCTAAATATTATTATTATTATTAATTATTATTATTATTATTATTATTATTATTATTATTATTATTACTACTACTACTACTACGTCATTCCGTCCAAGAGATTTTGTCGAAATGGCTTTCGAAGAACCTTTTAACTACCACTGTGGGTTATGGCTGGTCTTGAGCCATATTATTTTGAGCCAAACATGCTCCAAACTTCGAAGTGATAGTATTGAAGATAGTGAAATGGATAATCCCTTGGAAAAAAATAGGTTTTGCTGACCTTGTGAAGGATGCCAAGTCAGTTGCAGGTTTTTCTCCTTCCCACAAATTTTGAGATGGACAGAATGACATCACATAAATAGGGCCTGGCTGCCAAGCAGTTTCAAAATGGTGGCCTCCAGAGTCACTTCTTTCAAGATGAATTTCTTCAGGATAGTGGGCACTTCAGAGGCCGAAACTTTGCTGAGTGGAAAAGCTGAATGTTTACTTGCTATAGGTGAAGACAAAAAAGTGTAAGCTTTTTGGAGTGACTTCCTTTAATTTACTAGCAATATTCCTCCTTCCAGCATTATAAATTATTTGTTGGTACTGTGTGAATAAAACGTCTTACCCAAAAACACAACACAATGACCCTGGCCTGGGCTCAAAGCCAGACAACTTGATCTGGAGTCCAACATGCTAAAAGGCCAAAATGCCCACCAAGAGAAACTGAGAGAATCCTCCACTCTTCATTTCCATTTTGATGACTATGATGACTGTTTTTTTCCCTCAAGGTAAACTTGGTCATGGGGATACAAACAGAGTGTACAAGCCAAAGGTGATTGAAGGTTTACAGGGATTAGTGATAAAGAAAGTGTGCTGTGGAAGTCAGTTTAGCTTGGCTCTCACTTCTACTGGGCTGGTAAGTGGAATATTTTGGATGAAATATGGGCTTATAAGACATGTACAGTATTCATTAAAATAATGAAGTTCATGACCCTGTAGAAGTTGCATTAATATAAATTAAAGGGGCACTATCACAGGGATTGTGCTGCTGCTGATGTAAAATGCTTCTGTAAATCTTTTTTGCCATTTGTAAACAAACTGTGGCAAAAAGTCTCATAAGAAGATGCATGTGTTTCCAATATTTTGGCTGCTCCTCACTGTGCTTTAAAAGTAAATGGTGTACTATTAACCCAGACATTAATTTAGACAAAGAGAGGAGCGGTGGCCTGATGGTTAGTGCACTGGTCTCTGCATTGAGCAGTCCGGGCTCGAGCCCTCGCCTCGAGCACAGTGCCTCTGTAGTATTCCTAGAACTAAGGTTAATAAGTTGAGTAACACAAAGTCACACTCCAAACTCACGTTTGTGCACACATGCACACACACTCGCTTGATCATGTGACCACTGTTCATAGTCCTGGGTGTCCACAGGACGCCACATCGTCCTCTTTCTCTGCTTATAAACTCTAACATAAATTTTAACAAAATGGTATGAACAAATGTCAACAATGTCTAATCAGGTAAATAGAAAACTGTAAGTACAGCATGATGAAAGTTAGTGTCACTGGGGAACCACAACCACCTTTAGGTGGTGACATAGTCACTGAATCTCTCAGGAGGTTGGGAGACTCTCCCTGATCTCCTTGGTAACAGCGGTGGCTGGAGAGGGCTCTAATCCTCAACTGACCTTGCACTTCCATCTCTGGGCTGGGTGTAAGTTCTTTTCCACACACTTTTTCACAAGGTACTTGTACAGGGTCTGCAAGGCTCGATCCCTTTGGCTCTATAACCAGCACAATGAACTGTTTGACATGCTGAATGTTTCGCTTGTATTCCACACCTTGAGGTGACTTTAACTGGATCTGATTCCCATGACGTGCCATCACCTGGTATGGCTCTCTCTCACAGTGTAGTGACAATTTATTCCCCTTCCTTTTCTCCGGTAACACAAATCCTCCTCTTGTATGCATTTCTCTGCTGCCTGGTGCCTCTTGTCAACATGGTCTGAGCCAACCTGCTTTTTTTCTGCATCATGATCTCTGGCCTGTTGATATCCTGGGTCCTCAGATTCCTCTAGATCAGCAACTTCTGGCAACTTTGTGGACAATTTCCTCCCAAATAGTAACTGTGTTGGGCTCTCGCCTGTTGTTACATGCGGGGTGGAGCAGTAGGCCAGGAGGTACTTATTCAACTCTAATCTCCAGTCTCTCTTCTCAGCATGGGCCACTCTCATTGCTTTCAAAAGGGAACAATTTTGTCTCTCAACTTCCCCATTCGCTCTTGGCCATAGTGGTGTGGTCAGTCTATGCTCAATGCCCATTTCATTCAAGTATTCTTCCATTTCTGTGGACACCAGGTACCCCATATCTAGAGAACTGTTTATCTAAACACTTGATAATCATCTCAGAAGTAGTGGATTTGATTACATAAACTTCCACCCATCGGCTGAAGTAGCTGACTAGGACCAACAGATATTCTCCTGTTGGCATAGGCCCAAGCAAGTCCAATGCTAGATCTTGCTATGGCCTCTCTGACATCCTGGTTGTTTTCACCGGGGGAGTGATCGTCTCCTTTGTAACCACTTGACGTCAGTAACACACCCAGCACTTCTGTTCCACATCCTTATCAACTCCCGGCCACCACACTTTAGATCTGAGTCTATCTTTCATTTTGACTATCCCCTGGTGACCCTTGTGTGTAAGTTCCACAACCCTTGGCCATGCAGGATAACTTGACCAATGAAGGTGAGCTTGTTATGCACCATCAAGAATGACCGTTGGCCCTTCTCCCAGTTTCCACTAGCAAGGGAATTATGCACTTCTTGCAACTCTTCATCCTCTGCGGAGGCACTCTCTATGGCTTGGATCTTAATAGCTACAGGATCTGCTTTGAGTGCAACCATCCGAACTTGTTTATCATCATAACGACACCTCTCTGATGCCAGAAGCGTTGTCAGATGTGACAGGGCATCAGCAGTATTATCTCATGATGCAACGCAGCACACCTTATAATTATATGGCTGCAGCCTCAACATCCAGCGCTCGATGCGTGCTGATGGCTTGGATCGTTTAGAGTAAATCACCTTCAGGGCCTCACGATCTGTCACCAAGTCAAAGGTCCGCAACCTGTACAAGTATAAGTTGAACCGTTCACATGCCTATACCATTGCCAGTGCTTCCTTTTCGGTCTGACTGTATCTCCTTTGTACACTGCTAAGGCTCGTGCTGGCATAGCAAACGGCTCTACCCTCAGCATTGTTCTCCTGGACTAACACTGCACCTAGTCCCACAGGACTTGCATCAGCTATCACTTGAGCATGTGCCTCTTTGTCAAAGTACACCAGAACAGATGCACTAGCTGACTGCTGTTTCAGTTCCTGAAACGATGCTTCCTGCTCACTGCCCCATATGAAGGGTACTCCCTGCCTGGAGATTGCTCATAGAGGATCTGCAATGGTGGCAAAGTTGGGAATGAAACGTGCACTGAAGCCGACCATCCCCAGGAAACTTCCAACCTCTGTTGGCGTGGTTGGGTGGCTTGACTCAAGTATAGCACAGACTTTCTCTTCTGTTGAACCGATACCATACTTTGACACTAGGAGTCCCATGAAGACTACCTTGTCCATCCAGAATTGACTCTTCTCAGGGTTGAGGGTGAGGTTCTTCTTCTCCTCCAATGGCTGCAACACTCCATGGAGATTCCTGTCATGCTCCTCATTGCTCTTGCCATACACTATCAAGTCATCAGCAATGTTCTGAAACCTGCCAATATCAGAGACTACTTGCCTTACTATCTGCTGGTACTTCTCGAGTGCAAAGTTTACTCCAAAACTCAGTCTCTTGTACCTGGCTAGTGAATAACCCATTATTTGTGGCAAATGTGGTTATGTCTCTGGAGTCCTCATCTAATTCAATCTGGTGAAATCCCAGATGAAGATCCCGTTTTGAAAACACTGCACTGCCATAGAGGTTTTCCAACACCTCCTCCATGGTCGGGATGGGTATCCTTTCACGAATAACAGCTGCATTTGCCTTTCTTGAGTTCAGGCACAACCTGATATCCCCTGATGCCTTTTGCACAACCACTATGGGACTAACCCATGATGTCAGCCCATCTACTTACCGTACTAGACAACTGGCGCCCGTTTTATGAAGCTCCATTTGGCATAGAAATTTTTGTAGAGCTCTATGACTCTACGCTTTCGTCACCAGTCTCCTCCTACGTGTTGGAAAGATACATTACCTGCTACTTGATAGCTTTTACCGTAGTTGTGTATTGTTATTATGGTAACCTGCCTATTTTGTAACATTTGATTTCAACTTTTAGCATATTCCTTGCATATATCTCATATATTTTATATTAAAGTGTTATTAGGTTTACACTGTTTTAATCGTTTTTAATTTAAAATTCTGTATTGAGTTTACCCTCTACCATCTATGCTCTATGCTCTACGATTCTATGTACGGAAATAGACACTTACAGTTATTGTAGCAAATATTAAAACGCATGGGGAATGTTAAAGTGCATATGACATGAAAAATATTTTTTGCTTATTTGAAAGGCCCTTCAAAATACAGAAGAATGACGTTTTCCATTTTGAAATATCTTTTTTCGTTTTAGAAATATTGATGTTTTTCTATTATGCAAATTAGATCAGTGATGACGTCATATTGTTTGCAACTAAAAATGGTAAAATACTGAATAAACAATATCTCTAGGAATATTGAAGCAGTGTTCTTGAAACTTGGCACCCCAGATTTACATCACAAAAGAAACAAAATGACACTCTTAGTGGTGTTGCCATAACAACTATTTCGGCTCCAGTCTCTTTCTGTCAAAAAAACAAACATCACCATTTGCAACCTCGAAAGTGAGACAAAGGGTTCTACTTGGAACAGACATAGTTCCCATATTGTCTTAACTCCCATCATTAGATTGGGTGGGATAGATGGTTCTTGATTTAAGTCAAAAACTGGGAATTTCAGTTTTTATGAAGACAGCTCCAGTGGCAAAACTGTTGTCATGGCAACAGCATTAAGGGTGTCATTTTGTTTCTTTTGTGATTTACATTTGTGGTGCCAAGTTTCAAGAACACTGCTTCAATATTTCTAGAGATATTGTTTATTCAGTATTTTACCATTTTTAGTTGCAAACAATATGATGTCATCACTGATCTAATTTGTATAATAGAAAAACATCAATATCTCTAAAACAAAAAAAGATATTTCAAAAAGAAAAACGCCGTTCTTCTGTATTTTGAAAGGCCTTTCAAATAAGCAGAATATATTTTTCACGTCATATGCACTTTAAGTGCTATTATGGTTTACAGTATTTTAATAATCTTTTTAATGTACAATTCTGTATCGAGTTTACCCTCTACACTCTGCGCTGTATGTTCTATCATCTACATTCTACTCTCTATGTTCTACCAGCTACTCTTTTCAATCTATGCGCGACACTCTACGATCTACCATCTATCCTCTAAGTCCATATATGTTCTACATTCTACCAGCTACCCTCTTCGATCTACGTTCTACGCTCTACGATCTACCATCTACCCTCTAAGCTCATCTGTGCTCTACTCTCTATATTCTACCAGCTACTTGTGCTACGCCTTACGATCTACCATCTACCCCCTAAGCCCATCTACGCTCTACTCTCTACGTTCTACCAGCTACTCGCTCTATGATCTATGATCTACCCTCTAAGCCCATCTACGCTCTACTCTCTATGTTCTGCCAGCTACTCTCTTCGATCTACGCTCTATACTCTATGATCTACCCTCTAAGCCCATCTCAGTGCTGGAAATAATTTTTCTTCTTTAACCCATTGACGCCTGAATGAAATTACCCACGACCCACCCCTAATTCCCTGGCGTTTTTTTGGAATATTTGAGAGCAAGCTAAAGCACAAAAATAA